AAGTTTCAAAGCAATATCTCAAAGGGTTAAGGCAATAAGTGGATTTTACCCATATTCAATGTATTTTCTAAGTCAAAAAGGGGCATAATTCTGTCAAAAACCTTGACAGAGTTATGTCCTCTTGTCTGTTGATGAAGGTCGTGATGGTAAACAAGTATGGTCAGTTTCAAAGCAATACCTCCAATGGTTTTGAAATAAAGTGAGGTGGTACAAAAAACTTAACCAAGCTCAATACACTTTCTAAGTCAAAAAAGGGCCATAATTCTGTCAAAAACCTTGACAGAGTTATGTACTCTTGTCTGTAGATGGAGGTTATGATGGTGAACAAGTATGGTAAGTTTCAAAGCCATACTTGTAATACTTCTGAAATAAAGTGGGGTGGTACGAAAAACTTAACCAAGGTGTGACGCCAACGCCGACGCTAACGCCGACGCCGACGCCGACGCCGACGCCGGGGCGAGTAGGATAGCTCCCCTTTTCATAGAAAAGTCGAGCTAATGAAGCATGTAAAAAGAACATTTTAAGAGTTACTATTAAAAATGAACGTTTGATGTAACGACTTTGTGTATTATTTCTAAATCACACACATTTCATAATTAATTTGAATTCCATTTAGCCCTTTAATATTCTGAAATTCTAATGAAACAAGTAGACTTTGAAGATTCTATTCAAAGGACAATATCAAGTTTTTTCCCCACAGTATATAGGTAATATGGCGACTTTTCAAGGAAGATCTCAATAGATAAACTTCCCTCAAATGAAAGAATCCAAAGTCCCTGTCAGGATTCGAACCCACAGCGGTGAGAAGTTAAGTAGTTACGAATACCTATGATTTTTTTTGGTGGGTAGAAGGGGTTGGATGTTGAATCACAGTATAGGATAGACAACTTTTTTTTACTTTTCTTTTTTTATTTTAAAATTTTCTTTTTTAAGAAGGAAGACCTATGCATAATCGAAAGGGCATTTGTCTAGAACCACCGATCTACCGTTATTTATCACATCGGGACAACTTCCACACATGAAAGAGTGCGAACCTAGAGCGGTGAGGGGCAAGTGGGCCAAAGTCGACGACGTAAACCAAGGACTTGGTTATTGAAAAAACATTTCACTTCATCACCATTGTGCTAGAAACGTGTCCTCGGCAAATGCTGTATCATTTCATTCTTCTGCTTTGAAATAAATTCAGAAATACAATTACAAAAAAGCAGTATTTTGTACATTTCAAGTGTTTTATCACGTTATCTGTAACAACAGGCATTCTTTAAGACTTTTCTATCCGCGAGAAAATGAGTATGATATGTAAAAATGCATTCAGAAAGAGTGGGTAAAGTTTAAATCTAATTTACTCTGTGTTTACATTTAAAGTATGGTTTGAGAAAACAAACGGGTCAAAAATCAACAACAAAAATATTGCAGCAGCAGCAACAACTTCGAAGCACCTAGAATATTTCGGAATATTTTGTCAACAACGTTTGTAAAAATATTATATTTTTCAATTTCAGGGTTTGAGAGTACGGTGATTGGTAGGTACTGATTATTTAATACAAGGAACAGGAAGGGAGCTCTTATAATTAGATACAAGGTGCTCTGATTCTTGGGGCACTTTATCCTAAGATAGGGTTTCTAGCATTGATTTTAGTCGTAGACGAATATTTTTCACACGAGACTACAGTACAATTGAGAAAACACGACGCATTTTTTTCATGCTTTGCCTTGTTAGGACTTTAGTAGAACACCATATAACAATAACTGACGTATCCCTATATATAGTGTCGTGTAGAATCTATTTAATATAAAGCTCACCGATGTGAGCGGTATTGATGCACTGGAGCTCATCTCTTGATCTATTTCTCCTTCCGTGAGGCAGACAACAACAACAAAAATCTTGCAGTTGCAACAACAACTTCGAAGCTCCTAAACTTGTCCGTCAAAGGCGGCAAAATGACGAATCTTTTGCAAGACAATTTATTTATTTACACTATACTATACTCACAATTTAGACGATAAATTATGCATTCTTGTTATATAATTAAAGATGAAGACAAATATTCAGCCTCTACGGCGTTCAATCACTCTGACTGCGCACAATGACGGATTGGTAAACTTAATTTGGAAGATGCGCCTCAACGCGGAAGATAAACTCATCAATTCTAATTCAATTCATGAAAATGTCTGCATGATTTATTTATGTTATTTAAATCAGTACACCATTTTCACCTATCTTCATTAAACCAGCTTTGAAATCATTGTCAGCACAATATATTAAAGTGTTATTACATGATCTTTATGACCTATCTTCCGATAAATCAAAACTTAATTTAATCAGTTTTGTCGGCAACACTAAGAATTATGTATTACGCAATCCTTTTGATTTAACAGTTGATTTAATCATCATTTTACATCTTTATATTTGTAATACATCAGGAGAAAAGACGCCAGATTTATGCATGTTCTCGTCATAAAATATCCGACGCATCAAACAGAGCAGATTAATTTCCTGTTGACGTAATATTTCGCACTTAAACACTATATTAATATTCTGAGTAAAACTTTGTTGTAGTTTTTTTTTCATCTATAGTACACTCCGCTTATAACGACATTCAATGGATTGCCGAAATTATATCGTTATATGGCAACGAATAAGACAAGAGGGTCATGGTGGCCCTGAAATCGCCTACCTGTATATAGGCCCCTGGGCCAAGACCAATTTTAAACCAGGGGCTTTTATTTGAACAATCTTGGTAGACACTCAGATGCTTAGTATCTAAACATTAGCTCTTTGGGTTTTTTATAAATAGAATTTTTTAAGAATTTACTATACACATATTAGGAAATCAATGACCCCCCTCACCCCCCCCCCGGGCTGAGCCATTTTAACCCAATGGCCCTTATTTGAACAAACTTGGTAGACACCCATTAGAAGATGTTTCATGATAATTATCTAATCTCCAGCTCTTTGGGGTTTTTAAAAAAAGATTTTTTAAGTTTTTACAATATACATAAAGGGGGAAAAAATGCCCCCGGGGCGGGGCAAATTTTGTCCCCAGGCTAATTATTTGAACAAACTTGGAAGACATTGACTAAATGATGTTTCACGCCAAATATTTAAGCTGTAGCTCTTTTAGTTTTCTAAAAGAAGATAATTTAAGGTTTTTTTCCGGTTGCCATGGCAACCAGAGTTCTGCTTGGATTTAAATTCTATCAACAAATTTTAAAGTTGACTACCAATGGTACATTCCTGTGAAGTTTGGATGAAATTGGCTTAGCCGTTTATGAGGAGATGTTGTTTAAAGTAAAAGTTTACGAACGGATGCCGGACGAAAAACGATCACAAAAACTCAAAGTTGAGCTTAAAACAGGAAGTGGAAATGTTGATTGAATCGGAAAACAAGAGGGCCATGATGGCCCTGAGGTCGCTCACCTGTATATAGGCACCCGGGGCGGGGCCAGTTTAAACGCCAGACACCCATAAGAAGCTGTTTCACGCTAAACATCTAAGCTCTAGCTCATTGGGTTTTTTAAAACAAGATTTTTTAAGTTTTTACTATACACATATACTAGTAGTTAAAAACAATAACACCCCTGGGGCGGAGCCAGTTTTGACCCCAGGGCTTTTATTTGAACAAACTTTGTAGACACTTACTAGATAATGTTTCATGCTTAACATCTAAACTCCAGCTATTTGGGTTTTTTAAAAGAAGATTTTTAAGTTTTTGCTATACACATATAAGGAAAATCAATGACTTCCAGGGCGGGGCCAATTTTAACCCCAGGGCTTTTATTTGAACAAACTTTGTAGACACTCACTAGAAGATGTTTCATGCTTAATATCTAAACTCTAGCTATTTGTGTTTTTTTCAAAAATTATTTTTTAAGTTTTTGCTATACACAAAAAAGGAAAATCAATGACCCCCGGGGCGGGGCCAATTTTGACCCCAGGGCTTTTATTTGAACAAACTTAGTAGACACTCACTAGAAGATGTTTCATGCTAAATATCTTGCTGGTAGACCTTGGTTAAAGTTAAAGTTCCCAGAGGAAGTGACTCACACATCCCTCCGGCCAGATATAGTAATGTGGTCAAGGTCTCCGAAGTTGATGGTGATGGTAGAACTCACTGTTCCTTGGGAAAAGAGAGAGTAGAAGAGTCCCATGAGATCAAGAAGGGGAAATACCAAGACTTGGCAGACACGTGTAAAGAAAGAGGATGGAAGACATGGGTCTTCCCAGTAGAAGTTGGTTGCAGAGGCTTTCCATCACAGTCAGTTTGGAAAATGCTGGGAGCAGTGGGCATTAAAGGAGGAGCCCGGAATACAGCAGCACATGCTCTTGGCAAAGCTGCAGAGAGATCTCTGGCTAAGACGCAATGAACCAACCTGGCAGCCATCGTAGACGAGGTAGTACCTGATCAACACTACCTGCCCCACCACCTTGAGGATGTTCCGAGATAAGGGGCGAAACATCCAGTGACAGATGGGTACTCGGCCGATGACGTCTACGTTAAGCAGTATATCTGTATTTTCACATCATTGATGCTGGTTTACCAGTGACTTCCAGGAAAGGCTGGATGACAACCAGGTAAGAATGGTGACGCTGGAGAGACAGACGACATCTAGGAAAGACTAGAAACCGGTGTATATGGTCGGCACCCCGTTATGCAGTCTCTGCGAGGAGGCAACCATAAAGTACGCTACAACAGAACAAAGAGTAAAATACCCCCAGGGCCATCCGAGAGGCGGGAGGATGAAAGGCCCAACAGGACGGATACTATGGCAACGAACAGAAACGTACAACGGACTTTGACTGGAGAAACCACATCAGTGGTGTGTCAATGTGGAAAGATTTGTAAGAATCATCGAGGACTGAAGATCCATCAGACGAAGACCGGTTGTCAGTCACAGCGAAAACATCAGCAACGCACAGGTTTACCTGGTGCGACGGGGGAGATATCTGGTCAGGTTTCCAACCACAGTACTAAAGTCTCCTAGCTCCTGTTTTTTCGATGGCTGGTAGCAGGTTGACGGGGGAGGTAACACAGTCCATAGATGACCTCTTGAGTGTGCAGGAAAATATACATGTTATTGTTCTTGAGGAGCAAGATAATGATGTACGAGATGAAGAAGAGGACTCACCAATATTCAGGCTGAATAATACAAGGAAGGACTCGCCTATATTTGGGCCAAGTTTAACCCAATCCAGTGAGAGAGTCTCAGCCACAGAAAATAGCACCGAAGATCTACTTACCTTCCCAGAGTCATGGCGAACATCACCACTTGCAGGAAGTACCAGGGTGACACACGACCTAGTCAATGAAAGGCAGCAGCCAACTTCTAGTGAGAGGAAACAGAAGATTGCTTGGCCAAAGATGAACGACAAAGGTTGGACACTGTTTGACGAAGACTTATACTTAGTCCTACAGTCAACACTCATCGGAGCAGTGGGAAGGAAATTGGAGGCACTTACTTCACTTACATACACACTTGGGAATGAAAGATTTGGCTTAGAAAATAAACCCAATCTACCGCAACCACCTCCAGTCCCTAACAGACGACTGTGTGAAATAAAGAAGATCCGACTAGAACTGCGGTCTCTCAGGAAGCAGTACAAGCAATCAAGTACGGTTGAGAAGGAAGGGATTAAGCAACTCAGACAGCAGATACGATCAAGACTCATGTCGCTGACCAATGCTGAAAGACTTAGACGAAAAAGGAGGGAAAAGACAAAGAAAAGAACAGCTTTCATATCAAACCCATACAAATTTACGAAAGAACTATTTGGCGAGGAGAAATGTGGTAAGCTGGAGAGTAGTCGAAACGAGGTGGAAGAGAACCTTAAGGAAACCCATTCTGACCCACACCGAAGCGAATCATTGGGAGAATGCGGAAGAATCCAACCAGTAGACGAGCCTGCCATTCCGCTAAACATGAAGGAGCCCACATGGAAAGAAATAAACGATGTGGTCAAGAAAGCACGCTCTTGCTCTGCCCCAGGCCCTAGTGGCATCCCATACAAGGTGTATAAGAAATGCCCAAAGCTTTTAAGAACACTATGGTCACTTTTACGGGTGGTATGGAGGAAAGGAAGCATTCCAAATTGCTGGCAGACAGCGGAGGGCTGTCTTATCCCAAAGGAGAAGAACTCGAAGAATATAACACAGTTCCGAACCATATCATTGTTGAGTGTGGAAGGAAAGATTTTCTTCTCCATCTTAGCCAAGAGAATGACAACTTACATGATAGAAAATAAGTATATCGACACGTCTGTACAGAAAGGTGGAATCCCAGGATTCTCTGGCTGCGCGGAGCACACTAGTGCGCTCACACAACTGCTACACGAGGCAAGAATCAACCAAAAAGACCTTACAGTAGTATGGCTTGACCTTGCAAATGCTTATGGCTCCATACCCCACCAACTTATTCTTGAGGCACTACAGCACTACCATGTTCCAGAACAAGCAACAAATTTGGTCACAAGCTACATCAATAACATCCATTTGAGGTTCTCATGCAGTAGATTTACCACAGATTTGGTTCCACTGGAGAAAGGCATTGTCACAGGATGCACCATCTCTGTCATTTTGTTTGTTATGGGTATGAACATGATCATCCGAGCAGCAGAGAGGGAATCAAGAGGTCCACAGACAAATGCCGGCATTCGTCTCCCACCCAATAGGGGTTTCATGGATGACATGACTATCACCACAGAAACCCACATCCAGACGAGATGGATTCTGCACGCACTTGATGAAACAGTGTCATGGGCATGGATGTTATTTAAGCCAAGAAAGTCAAGGTGTTTGGTAGTGAGGAAGGGGAAAGTAACAGACAGATTCAAACTAACTATACAGAAAGAAGAGATTCCTTCGTTAGTCAACAACCCAGTAAAGTGTTTGGGAAAGTGGTTTGATTCTACACTCAAGGACACCAAAAGCCAAGGACGACTTAAACAGCACGTTGAAGAAGGGCTAAAGAGAATAGACAAGTCAGAACTCCCTGGAAAGTACAAAGCATGGATCTTCCAGCACGGTCTTTTAGCAAGACTTATCTGGCCATTGATGGTCAATGAAATCCCCATCAGTTTAGTCGAGAAAATGGAGCAGTCAGTTAGCAAGCATCTAAGGAGATGGCTAGGCCTCCCTCCATCATTCACCATTTATGTTTATATAGCCAGTCATCAAAACTACAGATTCCATTCAACTCACTGGTCGAAGAATACAAAGTTGCTAAGGCACGTCTGCTGCTTACACTTAGGGACTCGTCTGATGAGAAGATCAGTGGAGCAAGAATTGAAGTAAGAACTGGGAGGAAATGGTCAGTTAAGCAGGCAGTAGACCAAGCTGAAAGTAGTTTAAAGCTCCAGGATATTGTAGGAACAACAAACAAGAGCAGAGAAGGACTAGGTATCAGGTTCAAACAGAGATGGAGAGATTCTGATAAAGTGGAGAGAAGATCAATGGTGCAGATAGAACTAAGGACCGCAGAAGATGAAACACGGTCATCAAGATCAGTCCAACTTGGTTCTCAGGGAAGCTGGATGAAGTGGAACTTGCCAGAGAGGCAGTTAACCTGGCAGGAGCTGTGGAGTTATGAGCCACTTCAATTGAGTTTTCTCCTTAGATCTGTTTACGACCTACTACCCTCCCCAACAAATCTTAAACTGTGGAAGTTGTCAGAAGATCCCAGCTGTCCACTTTGGGAATGTAGGATCATTACGCCATATCATGTCATCATGTAATACTGCACTGTCCCAGGGACGATACAGATGGCGCCACAACCAAGTTCTTCGTGAAATGGCGGACATCCTGGAGAAAGAGAGAAAGAAAGATAGACCGTTGAAAAAGACTGGACCACACTTTATCAACTTTGTTAAAGAGGGGGAGAAGAAGTCTGCAAAATCAACAGGTACTGGCATTTTACATGATTCAAAGAACTGGGAAATGCTGGTAGACCTTGGGAAGAAGTAAGTTCCCAGAGGAAGTGACTCACACATCCCTCCGGCCAGATATAGTAATGTGGTCAAGGTCTCCGAAGTTGATGGTGATGGTAGAACTCACTGTTCCTTGGGAAGAGAGAGTAGAATAGTCCCATGAGATCAAGAAGGGGAAATACCAAGACTTGGCAGACACGTGAAGAGAAAGAGGATGGAAGACATGAGTCTTCCCAGTAGAAGTTGGTTGCAGAGGCTTTCCATCACAGTCAGTTTGGAAAATGCTGGGAGCAGTGGGCATTAAAGGAGGAGCCCGGAATACAGCAGCACGTGCTCTTGGCAAAGCTGCAGAGAGAGCATCCAGTTGGCTCTGGCTAAGACGCAATGAACCAACCTGGCAGCCATCGTAGACGAGGTAGTACCTGATCAACACTACCTGCCCCACCATCTTGAGGATGTTCCGAGATAAGGGGCGAAACATCCAGTGACAGATGGGTACTCAGCTGATGACGTCTACGTTAAGCAGTATATCTGTATTTTCACATATTAGCTCTAGCTCTTTGGGTTCTTTAAAAGAAGATTTTTTAAGTTTTTACTATATGCATGTAGGGAAAATCAATTACCCCCCTGGGGCGGGGCAAATTTTGACCCCAGGGCTTTTATTTGAACAAACTTGGTAGACACTCACTAGAAGATGTTTCATGCTAAATATCTTAGCTCTAGCTCTTTGGGTTCTTTAAAAGAAGATTTTTATGTCTTTACTATATGCATAGAGGGAAAATCAATGACCCCCCTGTAGCGGGGCCAATTTTGACCCCAGGGCTTTGATTTGAACAAACTTAGTAGACACTCACTAGAAGATGTTTCATGCCAAATATCTAACCTCTAGCTCTTTGGGTTTTTTAAAAGAAGATATTTAAAGTTTTTTCTTTCGGTTGCCATGGCAACCAGAGTTCTGCATGGAATTAAATTCTTTGAACAATTTTTAAAGGTGACCACCAAAGGAACATTCCTGTAAAGTTTGGATGTAATTGGCTCAGTGATTTATGAGGAGATGTCATTTAAAGTAAAAGTTTACGGATGGACGACGGACAGACAAAAAGCGATCACAAAAGCTCACCCTGTCACTTTGTGACAGGTGGGCTAAAAACCCAACAAATACAATTTATTCCAAATCCATACTTTATTGTATGTCTTTAGAATAAATAGTTATCTTATGAATATGTTTAAGTTGTGAATGAATAAAACAATTTTCAACATGAATACAAATGTTTATTTTGTAAAACAATAAGAACAATTTTTGAAATTTTATTAGGACTGGTTCTGTTTTTTAAAAGGAATCATCCTCTTTTCTAGTTTGAGGAACATTATAATGTTCAGAAACATTAGATTTAATACAATATATTTACACCCTTGCTATTGTGAGATGTTCAGAAACAAATACTTTCATTCAGATATGAGATTTACATGTACAAGCAGTCTCCTATCAATCCCAAAATGATCAAATTCAAAACCATGTACGTGTATACTGTCCTCCTCTTAGTTCATAATACTTAACGCTTTGAAACAAGAAGGAAAACAATGAACTTACAGTACCAAAAAATTGTCATAACCTGTAGCATTTAGGTATTTTCTGTTGTATGACAACATATTTAATCAAAATCAGATTTCATGGTCAAAACGTAGATGGGGTTACATTCTAGTTTTTTTCATGTTTAAGTTTAAATTACTAAATGTTATATTGCTTGATTTTTAATATTAAAACTAAGAAATTGACGATTGTTTCAGACATATGCACACATTTTAATAGACAATTGTTGCTTTTTACAGAAATAAGTAACATATCTTTTACGTAAGATTCTACAGATTTAAAATAGTTTGCAAAAGAACTTTATTGTTTAGATGTATGATAAAAATATATCAATTTTGACCATTTTAACACTCCTCACATGGAAACATGCCATTTCCTTGGAATAAGTGATGAAGCGAAACTAGTGATGTTGAGTACACATATTAAGGTGTTTAACACTCTAAATAACTTTATAGATAGTATTTTTGTAAATGATTGCAAGACGTTATGTCTGCACATATATGTCTGTTATTATAATGATTATGTACATGTATATTCAACATTTTCATATCAAATTCTTCAAATTATCAATGGACAATTTCTAATAATGGCAAGGCATGTCCATTTAACAAATTTAGGGAGTGCAAACGCTTAACAAGAGCACAGCATACTCTGCATAGGCATGACAATATAAGCCCGAATGCAAATTTGTTTTAAGTAAATAAAATTCTAAGTAATCAAAAATAACAGAGAGGATTTATAACATTTCTCCAAAACATGTTTTATTTCAATTATCAATATTAAGATCTATATTGATACATGCCAAAGAGCTATGCTCTTGTTACATGAATACTTGGTGACAATTATATATGTCACAGCTTTTGCTGTGGAGTACATTGTACAGACCCCAGACATGTCAGCAGTCATGCCCTTAAAAAGCTTATTTGGAAGCGCAGTAATAATGTTGGTTTTTAATTGATAAAAATTCATAGAAACGTATAAATATTATACCAGAAATTCAAAAGCACAAAATTTAATATTATTTAGTGAATTCACATATCTTAAGAAACATCAGTTACAATTAATAAGATGGTCTTATTTTAAAATAATTAAATCATATAAACCTATAAAAGCTCCTCAATTATCTAAAATCTAAAACCGAGAAAAATCTAAAAATACAAAGTTTGATAAATAAAAACAAAAACATTATCAAGTAATAAATTTTGGAAAATAAAGGGAGGTAAATACATTACATGTATATTGGTAGGAACCATATTAATAAATTCATACATTGTAATCTCCCTTTGTAATATTTACACTTATATGAGTCAGTGTGACCTTGACCCAAGGTAGTCTGCTTAATGTCAGTAATATAAATATTTCTGCTAAAAAGATTTAATTTCGTACTATCAGTTTAAAAGAAACAGAGCAGACACAAAATGTAGACATTGATACAAAAGGACTAAATGTGACCTTGACTGCAGAAGGTCAAACCTGCGCTCTGCACATCGTTTTATTATGGTTAACATTTCTGCCAAGTAGTTTCAATTTCCTTCCACAGGTTAAAAAAATACAGACCCGACAAGAAAACCTGCTTACAAACGAATGAACAGACAGATGGACAACCAGGTGCATAACAATATACGCCAGAATTCTTTCAGGCATATAAAAATAGTTAATAACTATGCACTTTTAGGTTGAATAATATTTCAATGATTACAAAGACTTCATGCTTACACCGTTGTTACAATTTTCAACATCTTCAAATCAAAACCCCTCACATCATTAATGGACATGTCCAAATTCAATGCCAGGCAAGTCCATTTTTACTAATTTAGGGGTGTAATGGTTTAAATTTGTTAAGAACTAAGCACATATTTAGCTTATATCATATATCAATTATTACAAAAACTTCATGTCTATTTTCTTCCTCATAGATCTGCATATTAGAATATGTAATAGCTTTCACTTCTGTACCCTGAGGATGTTTCTGTATATCAAATTCTTCCCCATATCTGAAATCAAACAATTTTAAAATTATTCTTAACCCTTCACATGCTGAATTTCTTAAATGGACTTTTCCAATGTCCACTTTTGGAATGGTTCATTATCAATTTTGGGGATATTATTTAAGATAAAAATTTCAAGTTAGTTAAACAGAATAGAGCCTTATCACACTTAAGAATGTGCAAAATAGTCTGACTAAGCCTGGGATTCAGGCACATATTCATAACATATACACCCTTTTTCATACTCGATAGTGTTTTTGATTATATCAAATGTCCATTGGCCAAACAGAAGCATATAACAAAATTCAGAGACTGGCATCCAGACTAGGTCTGACTCTATACTGGCAGAAAGCGCTTATCACTGTTGGATTTAATTCATTGTCAGAATTTTCAATTTTGTATCACAAAACAAATACTTGCAAGACAACAATGACGCAACATAAATATGAACATTGCTGAAGATGGCATTACCTTAGTAATAATATTTACTCACCCTATCGATTTAATCTTAAAATTTTCTACATCAAATTCTGTAATGTGAATTTTCTGAAAAACAAAATATACATATATCAGTAATTTTCATCTAATCATTAATATTAATTAATTAATCATTAATATTAATTAATTAATCATTAATTATATATTTATATATATATATAGAGAGAGAGAGAGAGGGAGAGAGGATATTGAATGAGTGAAGGTTGCATATTTTTACCTTAACTTTGCATAACACAAATGATGCAATGTCAAAATATCTGACTAAAAACTGAAGGAATGATTGTTTCATAATGAATATAGCATCAAGAAGCACTTAGGACCTTATTATTTTGCAAATTGTTTTAGAATGCCTCTCTTCAAAAATAAAACATATATATGTATTAACTTTTGTATTAACTTTTGTTTTAACTAACTGAAGAGCTGATCTGAAAGTTGATTATTAGATGCTATTTTAAAACTTTTTTTATTACCCTTTTTAACATTGTAATATTTAAAATGGATAAGTTTACAATAAACAATTTTTCATAAGAATTTCAAATACATGTTTTATATTTTCCATTACAGACCCATTCACCTTAAAATGAATCTAACAAAATTCTAAATTTACCAAGATTCTATAATTATAAAAATTTAACTTACCCTTGCAATAAAAAATGGTTCTGCAGAGAAAACAAATAACCATTCATCCATAAAGTGAAATAATAAAGATTCTAGATCCTCCCCTGAAAATACACAAACAATAAACTGTCAATAAACTGGCAACTATTAGAACAAATATTATGTAACTTTCTAGCATATTAAGACTTTGTTTAATTCAAGTTAATTATCAGAGACATCAGAGGAAAAATACTCAACTGTTGTCAGTGCTTTGTAAACTCGGCTATTGTCAGTGCTTTGAACACTCAACTGTTGTCAGTGCAATTGAATACTCAACTTTTGTCAGTGCTTTGTAAACTCGGCTATTGTCAGTGCTTTGAACACTCAACTGTTGTCAGTGCTTTGAATACTCAACTTTTGTCAGTGCTTTGTACAATAAACTATTGTCAGTGCTTTGAACACTCAACTATTGTCAGTGCTTTGTACACTCAACTATTGTCAGTGCTTTGTATACTCAACTGTTGTCAGTGCTTTGTATACTCTACTATTGTCAGTGCTTTGTACACTCAACTGTTGTCAGTGCTTTGAACACTAAGCTGTTGTCAGTGCTTTGTACACTCAGCTGTTGTCAGTGCTTTGTATACTCAACTGTTATCAGTGCTTTGTACACTCAATTGTTGTCAGTGCTTTGTACACTCAGCTGTTGTCAATGCTAAGTATACTCAACTGTTGTCAGTGCTTTGTACTCTCAACTGTTCTGTGTACACTTAACTATTGACAGTGCTTTGTACACTCAACTGTTCTTGTACACTCAACTATTGTCAATGTTTTGTACACTGAACTGTTCTTTGTACACCCAACTATTGTCAGTGCTTTGCACACTCAACTATTGTCAGTGCTTTGTACATTCAACTGTTGTCAGTGCTTAGTATACTCAACTGTTGTCAGTGCTTTGTACACTCAACTGTTCTTTGTACACTCAACTATTGTCAGTGCTTTGTACACTCAGCTGTTGTCAGTACTTTGTAAAAGCAACTGTTGTCAGTGCTTTGTACACTCAACTGTTTTTTGTACGCTCAACTATTGTCAGTGCTTTGTACACTCAGCTGTTGTCAGTGCTTTGTAAAAGCAACTGTTGTCGGTGCTTTGTACACTCAACTGTTTTTTGTACGCTCAACTATTGACAATGCTTTGTACACTCAACTGTTCTTGTACACTCAACTATTGTCAATGCTTTGTACACTCAACTGTTCTTTGTACACTCAACTATTGTCAGTGCTTTGTACACTCAGCTGTTGTCAGTACTTTGTAAAAGCAACTGTTGTCAGTGCTTTGTACACTCAACTGTTTTTTGTATGCTCAACTATTGTCAGTGCTTTGTACACTCAGCTGTTGTCAGTGCTTTGTACACTCAACTGTTGTCAGTGCTTTGTACACTCAATTGTTCTTTGTACACTCAACTATTGTCAGTGCTTTGTACACTCAACTGTTCTTTGTACACTCAACTAATGTCAGTGCTTTATACACACAACTGTTGTCAGTGGTTTGTATACTCAACTGTTGTCAGTGCTTTGTTTACTCAACTGTTGTCAGTGCTTTGTACACTCAACTATCATCGGTGAAGAGAGAAGAAGGAATCTCATTACTTGTAGAAAGGGGACTAAATCAGAGAAAATACCATGTAAGAGTTAGTCATGGATAGAGACGTAAATACTTCCCTTGTTTGAAATGTTTTAAAAGAATTTCACCACTTATTGTAGGTATAGAATTTGCACACAAAGCCTTAACAAGAAGTACAAAAAGGGGTTTAATTCTGTAAATTTCAATGCAAATGTTGTAGGTATTGGATCGATAACCTACAATTATGATTGCTAAGAGAACTAATAGCTTTCAAACTATGCCCTCAATGACTAACAAGACATAATGTGACATCAAATTTCAATCATTGTGATACAAAGTTCAGTTAGTAGGATAGCCAGGCTTGTTTTCAAGTAAACCAGAATTCTCAAATCTTCTTTCCTTGTAAAAAGTTTAAATAAGAAAATTGGTGGAATCTTGCACAAGGAACACAATTCAACATTCAATTCAGTATCAAATGTAATTTTTTGGAAGATTCAGCCATAATAATAAACTCAATCACATCATGTATATTAAAACATGAAATACAATAAATATGCATCAAGTTTATAGACATTGAGTTTTTTAGAGTTCTCTGCATGTATTCTTTATTCCTTTTGTTCGATGTGAAATGCTATTAACCCCACATTTGTGGTACCTTGGCCTGTGTATCAATAAAATCCAAGGTAATGGCCTGGTTATTTGTCCTACACATTTGTGTCAAATGAATTTTGTGGAGATATTAACTTACAAAAAGCAGGATGAAGCCTGGTAAATAAGTTATTGAAATATGTATTATAAAGCCTTTAGGGTGTAAGCCATGGAAATGACATGTCTATGCCACAAGTATAGTTATGCCAGAAATATGCACATATATGCAGCCTAACTAGGCTTTTTACCTTTTTTGGTTGGATTTTATGTTGCACCAAAACGGAAAAGGTCATTTGCAAAAATTCTGTTGTTGATGTCAATGCATGTAATCATTTCCTGTATTTATAGATATAACTAACTTACTGTTAAGACAAATAAAGGTTTAATATGTGATGCATAAAATAAACTGCATACTCCTTGATAAAGAGGTGTTTAACATCTGGTAGCATAAGAGAGTGATATACTTTGTGCAATAGATATTTCTCTATTGTTTAAATAGTAGTGTTTTGATAATTGAAATCCCTAAAACTGACGATGGACAAATCAAAATTCAAAGCTGGACTAATCGATTTACAAGGTAAAGGTGAAACTCAAAAAAAGTTTTAGAACTATAAACTTCGTTTTTACCTTCTGCTTCAACTTCCTGTTCGCCTGTCATTTCTACAGTTGAGAAATCTGTCGTCATATAGTTAAACATTGATACAACTACCTGGAACACATAAACAATTATGAATATAGGAGACAGAACAAAAGGTGCAACACTGTATACAGGAAAACACAATGGGGTTACATTCTATAAAATCAATGCAGGAGTTGTGGGTCTTGGGTAAGTTACCTACAATTATGATTCCAGAAAAATGTATGAATTTCAAATAATGTACTTCTTGCAATAGAAAAAATCAGCTCGAATCTTTGGTGAAAAAAATAGTCATTGAACAATTCTAGCTATCAACTATCTTGTAAATCTCTGCTGTTTTTTCAATTTATTTTGCAAATCATACAAAATATGTGTAAACAAGGCAGCATAGTCCGAGAAAACAAAATATTCAATTCTCTATGAAACAAAGGATTTCGTAAACAAAAATGTCTTGTTCCTAGCTAATGTGTTTCTCGCCTCATAAATAAATTCAACTTCTAGAAAAACAGAAGTAAGGCTTCTTGACATAAAAGGGTAAAAAACTGTATCTAATGAAATGTTTTATTAAATTTACAAATGGTTAAATGATGCTGTTTCCATCAAGAGTAACATCATTAAAATGACATTTTAATGTCTCTGTTATTTAACACTAATCAATGTTATGTTATACATGTATTGTACTTAAATGAAATAGTAAATAACTTACCTGTTCAAATGCTTCTTTTAAGCTGTCTCCCCCTTTCATATGTTAAGAAAATTAATACCATATCACAGTCAAATTACATCAAATATAATAGACACATTTTTGTTGGAAGTCATCTAAAACTATTACCTTAATTAGCAGTGGAGGTATAATGCACAAAGAAAATGACATAATTCTCATTTAAATTAAATTCAATTATTAATCAATATATAGGATAGACACTTAGAACCTTCTTAATAAATATTTATTTAAGATTTTTAAGTTTATTTTGAAATTTCTCTTTCCCTTTTATAATTTGCTCAAAGTTTTTGTCAATATCAATTTAGAATGACATTTACACTCCATTAAAAGGATACATGCATGCAACCTGCAATAGAAGAAAGAAAAAAATTATTAATGTACGCTGAATAAGGTCTTGAAGGAGCTAAATTGAGGTTCAAAAGCCAGGCTTTCCAGCAGCTAATACCAACAAGTGTTGCATTGTCACAAAATATGCCCGTCAAAAAATCTTAAGGTGGAGATGTGAGCGATAAGAAGTGTGGCAATAAAGTTGGTCCCTATACATAGTTTTGAGTAAAATTTTACCTCTATGCTTGACCTTGACTTTGGTTGCAGGAACCTTAATTTAGTGTGTGACACTCCAGATCTCAATGGTGAACATTTGTGCCAAGTTATACTGAAGGCCCACATGATTGTAGAAGTCTTGCTCCAAACAAGCATTTTCAATACTCTCTAAGTTTGACCTTGACCTTTTACCTACATACCCGGTTCATATGTGCCGTACTGCTTCTCATAGTGGTGAACATTTATAAAGTTTCATTAATGATTAAAATCCCTCAATAGGTGTAGTTAAAGAAGGAAAAAATAGGAGCCATTTCAAAACAGTAGGGAAATGAAAGAAAGCTGGAAACCCTGACATGCTGAAAAATGGGGGTGTCATGTTTAATCATTCAAACGGGTATGATCAAACTCATTAACATTTAATAGCAGGTTATTAGGTCGCCGTTAAAACAGATAGTACCATTTTTTCTTTTATCACGACAACCCTACTGAAAATCATTAAATTTGAAAATCTTGTAAATATTGACTAAGGCACCTTAAATAGAAAAAAAATATGAAGAAGATTATGAAGAAATATACTCAGAATTTATCAACAATTGATTTTTAATACAATTTTAGCCAGATTTGAGTAAAGCCATTTTCATTTATTAATAAAAGTGTTAAACTGATTATTCTGGAAAGGTTTGAAATATTGCACAGAATTTATTGTTATTCAATATGAAATTGAAAGCTTAACTATCTACAATCTCTTACTTTTAAATTTTTTTTTCTCTTGCAAGACAATGGTTAGTAGATCATATAAGGCACTGCAGCTAAAAATCAATGATGGTTTGAAGAAAAAAGACTTCAGCAGCATATTGTTTAGTAAATTTTTAGAAAGATATTTTAGTTTCCTTTGAAGTCTTTTTGCTTGAAACAGTCATGAATTTTCAGTTGTCTTAAGTGATCTACTACCCTAAAAAACATTTTTAACTTATACTTTTTACATTATTAAACTTTAAAGTAACTTACTGAACATCAGCCGTGTGGTCCAGATCTGTTAAAAGAAAATAAAAATACCTTAATGTGATAGGACTTAAAGCTACTCATATTGAAAAGAAAAGAAAAAAGAAAAGAAAGAAATTTTTAGCAAATTATGGTACTTCTTTCACAATAATTTCTAATCCAAAATATTACTAAGAATAGATGTACAGGCTCTTTATAGATTGTACATCTAAAAGGTATTGGACATACCAAAATACACATACAATAAGTTTTAATCAATAATTTATCATATATTCATTTAACATCACTAGAAATTACCACAGAAAAAAACTCAAACAGTATATTAATCAAACATTGATGAAAATGGTGTGATAGGAATTTAATTAAATAAGGAATTAAAAAAAATTCAGACCTGGGGAAGTAATCTAAAGGAAATGTTGTTATTCGTTAGATTGTCTCAACATAAAACTGGAACTGTCATCCAAATTGGATTGTGGTCTGTATCACCCAGATGTACATTCTTGAGGTAAAACACAAAATCTGGATGACTTGATCAATTGTTTTAATTGCGACACTATTTAAATTTAAATGATAAACCAGTCATGTGACACTCTTGTTCACCAAACTCTTGATTTTAAGTTTAATTATCGACTGCCTTATTCCATAGGTTTTGCCTACTTTCATCTAATTTCTGTATGAATTAAAACTCTCACTCAGTTAACTACAATAAACAAACACATGTATCAGTGTATACAACACGTGACTTCAGTGAAAAAATCTTACATTCATATTTGTCTGCGAGATTTTCCTGATATCCTATGTGATCCCCGTCTGCTCCCGTGTTACACCGTTTACCTGAATCAGGCATCGAGTCCGCTTGATCAACTTCGACTTCGGGTTCCGATGTTTCCTGTTCTTTTTCAAGTTTTGGATGTTTATCAGGACTGTCAGACAGTCCCTGCTGGATTTCTTTGTCCTCACTTCTCTCTCTTTTCTCAGCCATATCAAAAAAGTAAGAAAATGCTTAAATGACTGTCAAAAACAAGCAATTTCACAACTAAACTGTAATGGTTTTGTTGTTGTCAAACTCACATGTGAAACTTCCGGTTTGTGAAACGTAAGAATTACTTCATTGTGAAAATGAATCAGTAACGATTCGCCACAATAACGATTCACATCATAATGATTCGCCACTATTAAATAATGATGCACAACCGTCCCGGGATTGACTAGCAATAAATATGCGATTAAGTTGTTTTGACATGAATTTTTTCAGTGTTGTCCTTGTGATCTAATTTTAATGTGTTGTGAATTTTTGGGAATTACAGTCAACCCGGCCCCAAGTCAACCCGGCCCCAAGTCAGCCCGGCCCCAAATTGGTCAACCCGGCCCCAAACCAATTTTATTTCTGGTCAACCCGGCCCCATTTTTTTATTATTTATTTTGCTTTAAAATGTAAACACTTATCAAGAAATAAGATAAAAATTAACAACAAAAACAAAAGTTCAATGAGATGATAGAAGCAGCAGATTTCATGACATCGATTGCGGCAACCTCTTTAGCCTGTAAAAAAGTTTGTAACCATTTATAAGAATCACACAAAATAATATAAAAAAATAATAATTTTCATACATTCAATTCCATACTTTTTTATTTATGACATAAAGTGATTAAACACAAAACACTATCAATTTTTTTCAAACAATTAGTAATATTCCAATACTTTTTCCACAGTAAATATTCTTTGAAAATAAGTTAATAAAAAACGAAACAAATATTAATTATAATAATGAACGTATTCAATAAAAATATTCAAATGAATTGAAAAAATATTGTTGGAAACTATATTTATACAAACCTTTTAACTCGAAATTCTATGCATTTCTTCCTAATTATCGCATTAACACTCACGAAACCATCTTTAATTTACATCGAATAAAGACATGAAAGATACTACCAACTTATTAAAAGGATTTGTTTTCACAGCTATACCTTTTTTGTTAATTGATTGCTTTAAACTGTTTGATTATCACATCTGAATTAATGTTGATGTACATATAATTGTTGATGTTATATAATAATTCATCAATATTGCGTATAAAAGACTTAATCGGCGCAATTAAATTTACCGACACTTTTTGTTACTAGTGTTCTATAGTTAATAATCTTCAATTAATAATAAATCATTTTTATTCCATCATACAACAAAATGACTTAAAAAGTTTTCTTTGAAAAATATATATTTTGGGGCCGGAATGACCAATTTTGGGGCCGCACTGACCAATTTTGGGGCCGGGTTGACCAAATAAAAATACCGTGGGGCCGGATTGACCAATTTTGGGGCCGGGTTGACCAATTTTGGGGCCGGGTGGACTTAGGGCCGGGTTGACTTGGGGCCGGGTTGACTTGTACCGATTTTTGGTAATAAAATGTGTTTGTTTCCATGTGCTTTTATTAATTAAATGCCATTTTTATTATAATTTCCACTTGATAATTAATTTATACATGTATAATTAAAGAATGAAATAAAATGAAGAAAGAATGCTATGCAACACTTAGTAGTAATAGCAGATTGTTTTGTTTCTATAAATTTGAACTTTGCCGTTTTAAATGCAGTTGTCAGAGTCTAGTGAATATTGTGATCAAAGTCATATTTCAGCATGTCAAATAAAAGACAACGTTCAGATATGTCTAATGTTCAGATTCAAAGGCCACAGTACAATAATTTATTCAAAATAAAAGAATGTATTCGTACTTGACAAAAATTTTGGTATTTACTGTATTACATAGCTGTTTTTAAACAATGTACAGGTCATGACGGTCTCATCTTTCGGACCTGGGTGATTTCTGACTTTCGGTCTTTACTGCGGTAGTTTGCGTGTAAGTCAAGATCTGTTCATTATCAGTTTTGATAGAAAAAGATATATTGCATTGATTCCATGTGAAAATCCGACGATATTACCACCCGGTAGAAAATTTTGACACCCAGAACGGACATACCTATAATTTTCGTACTCTGATGTTGCATACATTGTCTATAATAATATTACAGTAATAATTTTTTGTTATTATTTCTTTTTTAATATATGGATATTTTATTGCATAAGTAACAAGGTTAAACGCATTTTAGGACAAATCAATGCCACTATATAGCACCTTTGATCAAATGCAGCAAAAAAATCAACATCTTTTTTGTGTCAATTTTGTTTAATTATAATTCGGCCTATGTACTCATAATAAAATAGTCCACATTTCTTGTACAACATCAAAATGATAAAGGTAGCATATTGTTCAAAAAGTACATCACTTTCATTCCGAAATAAATCGTACATTTCCGTTTTTATATTTTTTCAGTCGAGTTGTTTCCCCTGCACTTTAAGCATTTAGTCAATTTGCCAGGACGATCCGTACATTTATAAATGCAAAGTTTTTGCTGAATTTCTGGTAAATGGGCTAAATGTTATCAATGGTCTAAGCCATATTTTTATGTTTGAATAGGCATAGGATTAATTATGATTTATGTTTATAAATTCTTTTTTTTCACTAGAATAATGGACAACAAGGTCCAGGATATTTTAACGCATTCTTACAAATCCAAGCCGCCATAAGTAAATACTACTTTTCGAAAAAAGTGGATATTATCCAAATCTAAGTATAGAACATGTATATAATGTTTAATTGCTTAAAAAATAAGCTAATACACAATTGGTTAACAATCATGTACACACTCGACAAATCACACTGTACAATCATGTACACAATCAACCAGTCACACTGTACAATCATGTACACACATGTCAAGTCACACTGTACAATCATGTACACACATGTCAAGTCACACTGTACAATCATGTACATACACGACCAGCCACTGTACAATCAGGCACACACATGAAAAGTCACACTGTACAATCATGTACACACATAACCACTCAAACTGTACAATCATGTACACACATGTCAAGTCACACTGTACAATCATGTACACAATCAACCAGTCACACTGTACAATCATGTACACACGACCAGTCATACTGTGAAATCAGTACATAATTGACCAATCACAATGTACAACCATGTAAATACACGACCAATGAATGTACACTCATATACACGCACGACCAGTCACACTGTACAATCCGGCACACACCGGACTAATCACAATGTACAATCACATACTCAACCAATCACAACTTGTGAAATAAAACAGATTGGGTCTAGCACTTTTTTGATGCATTGGATCTTTGTTAGCCAATAGTCAGTCAATTATGGTATATTTTCTCATAGTAATTATAATTAATAGACGGATAGGCACAAATGACCTCTTTAGTCATATAAGTCATGTTAGATCGTGTCTAAATATTGATTTTTTATTAAAACGTAGACATTTTAGAGATTATTTTAATAGATTTATATCTCCTTATGTATTTGTGGCTTTGTGCTGTGTAAAAATTTGTGTTTTATTTTTAAAATATATGTAAATATGTAAAGATGCACAAAGATGAGACTTTGATAAAATATTTGAGTTGAGTTGAGTTGCTTTTAATACATGTATATAAGGTTATTCCAGACAAGTTCACCATTATCATCTGCCAGCAGAGGACGCGTACATGTTTGATCAGCATGTCGTTTGAATGAGATAATTAATTCTTCATTGAATTGTGTTGTGTCAATTATATTTTCAATCACGGCCGTACACACTTTTTTACTTGGAGAACTGCTACTGAATCGTCACATTGACGGTACCATGATCACTGCCGTATGAACACATCTATAGATGTAGAATTTTACCATTTACATGTTTAAATGTTTGATAATAATTTCAATTAATCTGGATAAAATTTTTGTCCTGAATTATTCAAAAAAGAATACTTTACGAATTAAATATCTTTGCTGGCAAGATAAATAATACAAAATATGTGCTTAATACAACACCGTCAAAGTACTTTGTTGGTCAATGTGACTATACTGACCACAAGTCTCCTTTTCAGACAGTCAACGAATATAAACTGTTACTAATAACAATCAGCAAAATCATTCATTGAATCATACAGAATTTAAATGATTTTATTTGGTTAGTAATGCTATATAGAAATGCAAATAGAAAAGATGTCTTAAGATATATGTTAACAATTATTTACACGTACAAATATTAGTATATAACGCAAAATATATTATAACATAACACTATTTTATGGCATATATATGTACTGAAGACAGAAATGCTAACATATGCTACTTACTTCTCTTTGAACCGCGTAAAATATGTATGTTATCGCACGATAATTACATAATTATGCCTATTACTGCCTCATTACGCTAATTTCACTACTTTTATATAATTACATCTTTTGAAGATTCAATTTGAATATGTTTACATAAGGCTTCCTTTCCTGATAATGATTCATTCTTCGTTTCTTTTCTTTAAACACTTGTAAGCGAAATACTGTCATAATTTAACAGCATAGTACAAATACAATATATACAGGGGAAGACTTTTATAAGCTTTAAAGCTTTCAGCTCTAATCCTTTTTCATTTGTGTATCTATTTATTGTAATGTATTATAAAGATGTTGTAGTCATTGTTTGAAATAAACTATGTTTAAACTAAACGAAATGACGTCATTACAATAATATATCAACAAGAATATATTGGCTGGTTCTCCGTCCGTTACTTAAGCATTTCTGATTGAAAGTTTCGTAAATCCATTGTCCAGAAATCTCAATATCTCGTCAATTTAAAAACGCCGAAACATAAGTTGTAGTAATTGTCGTAACTGCAAATAGTCATGACGAGTACTTAAGTTCAATTTCAAAAACAGAAAACTGCAAATAATATGTTAATATAATAATAATAATAATAATAATAATAATAATAATAATAATAATAATAATAATAATAATAATAATAATAATAATAATAATAATAATAAATAATAATAATAATAATAATAATAATAATAAGAAGAAGAAGAAGAAGAAGAAGAAGAAGAAGAAGGAGAAGAGGGAGAAGAAGAAGAGTAAGAAGACCGTTCTTCCAGAAAAACAGTTGCGTGCGCTTAAAAAAGTAGTGTTTTAAAACATGCTACAATAATAGATTTTCCACCGACGGCCACACAAAGAGACAAACCTCATTA